ACGCATAGCCCATAAGGCTTGGGTGCATGGGACACCCATGACAGGAGAACCGTGGCCAAGAGGACAGAAGGTAGCCTCCCTATAAAAAGATATAAAATCAAAGACGTGGCGGGCGAGAATCGGAGGGGGCAAGACGGCCGCTCTGCACAGTGAAGGAGGCGGCAGGGGAGGGCACGGCGACCCTGACGTCCCTCCTGTTACAGAAGCCAACTTACTCTTTCCAAACTCAGGACTTCCCACTGTCCATTACTTTGGGTGGTAACCCCCATCGCTTCCAGCTATTTCACTTCCAAATGGATCTTACTTGCTCCTTTCATTTAGTCTGGATCCAGGGTGCATCTATTGTAGTAATGTCCATGATTGACTATAGATCAAAGCCACCTTTAACAGCAGTCATTAATACCTTCCAGCATCACAGCATTATGGAAGCACCTGGAAGCTCTAGTGTCAGATCACGGTCCCATTGCTCCAGGTGCTGTTCATGTAGTGGTCAAGTTGGCAGACAACACATGAGGGACTAAAACAAAGAACAGCAGGGGAAAAAGGCACAAATATCTGCAGTTTGGGCACAGCAGCATGCACAAGATGACGGCAAAAAGACTCCCAGTCTCTGCGGAGGGTGATGAGTCTCTCTCGCATGCACAGAGGCCTGTAAGGAGAGAAAGTCCTTGCCACAGAGTGCACAGTCTACATGCACAGGGCAAGCAAAGTCTAAGAAGGGCAGCAAGGGGAAGGGGCTGGCCCCAAGTCACACAGCTTTATAAAGGATATTCTGCAGCACTGACCCAATGCACTTCAGGCACCACAGTGATGCTACAGGACTTCAGCTCCTGCTCGGGGAATGCCCCAGCACAGGCTTACTTTAAATACGAGGCTGCAAATTCTCTTTCCATGCTGGGACGTCAGCTCTAAGCCTCCCCCGCTTTGCACTGACAATCTGCAGCGATTTCCCCGCTACTACCCCCAGGTAGCGGAGTGACCCTCCCGCCCGCACTGCCATTTCACACAGCAGCCTGCACACCACGATTTTCTACATTTATTTTTAAATCTCCTGTGGGCTTGCTCAGAGATGGAAAGCAAAGCAATACTGCTCCGTGGCCCTCCCAAAGTGCTTGCCCCCTCAAGTGCCCTACAAAGTATCCTCACCCCCATTTTACTATGGGGGAAACTGAGACATGGCAAAGAGGGAGGGACTTGTCCAAGATGCCCCCAGACCAGGGTTGTCCAACTGGAGGCTTGTGGGCTGTATCTCCCATGGCTGCTGCTGCAGGAGTCTCTGGGCTCCCCTTCCCACCTACAGACCGCTTCTTGCCCCTGTTGGAGGGTAGGGCAGTGCTGCCCATGGGGAGCTGGGGAGCCTGTGGCTGTGTGATAGGGGAGGGAATCACACTGCCCTCAGTGCCCAGGCAGTAGGGTGAAGGAATCCTGTTCCTCAGACACTGTTTCCACCATCCTACCCACTGCATCACATTGCCTCACAAGCCACAACTGTCCTATCTTGCAAATGCTTATGCAGCAATTCTGGTCACTGAGAGAAGAGCAGAGATGACACAGACTTTCTCCTCCCCCTTCCTTTTCTTTCTTTGGAGCACGAGGCTGGCCAGGAATAGGTTGGTGGTGGGGTTCTTCACCACTTCCCTGACACTGGATGAGCACATCTTTTTTCTAAATCTGGCCAAAAAGGAGCCAACTCCTTCCCCTCCACCAGTCCAGGAGGCAGGAAGCAAGTGAGAGAGGGTGACAGGGCACCCCTCATTACACTCAGCCCCTGCTTGCCTTGAGACTAGGAAAATGTGAATTACTTCTAGGTGGATTTGCACTTGAAACTGTTCCATTTAGCAAGAATTTTCACTGACGGAGGCATTCGCTTTCCTATGTGCCCCAAGGGATGACAAGGTCGAACAGTTATAAACTCCTGCAAAACCATTTCAAGCTGGACATAAGGAAGAATTTCTTTACTGTCCGAGCCCCCAAGGTCTGGAATAGCCTGCCAACGGGGATGGTTCATGCACCTACATTGAACGCCTTCAAGAGAAATGTGGATGCTTAGCTTGCTGGGATCCTATGACCCCAACCCGCCCCTCGGGCAGGGGGCTGGACTCGATGATCTTCCAAGGTCCGTTCCAGCCCTAGTGTCTGTGAAATCTGTGAGAACTGGAGTGACCCCACAGGGATAGCAGCATGGCTGGTGGCTCAAACATCAGGCTAGGAATCAGGAAACCTGGGCTCTAGCCTCAGTTCTTCCACTGCTTTGGACAAATCTTTGTTCTGCTCTCTGCCTCAGTTTCCCCATCTGTTCCTTTGGAGCAAAGCAAAATGGCAGGAGTCAGTCACTGCCCAGAGTACAATTTCTAATTCCCTTGCAAGTGACTAAGTAGGAATTAATGCCAATTGAAGTGATTTTACATGTAGGATTGGATGGTCCTCCAAAATATAAGGTGCTGGACAAAACAAGCAATAATTCAAGGAGACTCTATAGCATGTGTTATAGCAGAGGTCAGCCTAGATGACCACAGTGGTCCCCCTATCCTTACAATTTATGAATCCAGCTGGGCCCATTGATTGCTACCACAGAGGATCAACCCTGTGGGTAGCAGCCCTGTGGATAGCAGCATTTCTCCATGGTGCCAGAGGAAGAGGGAGAGGCAGAGCAGCAAGGAAGAGCAGCCATTGAAGCAGGATTCCCCTCTACCTTAGGAGGCTACAACCTTTTGGACCTGCAGCTTCCAAGCCCTCCCATCTGCAGGAGCAGTTATTTGGGAATTCTCTATAAAACCAGGCTTATGGAGTTTCCTGGCTCTCTACTGCGCTCCGCGGAAGAGAATGATCTCTGTAGGCAGTGGTGGGTGCTCAGTGCTTTCTCAAAAGTGGGTGCCAGTGTTTTCAATGGGGCATACAGAACCAATGGCCACTTGGGACAGTGTTGGGTATGAAGCCACAAGATCTGGGAGGGGAAAACCAGGCACATCAAAGCTGAAATCAATTTAAATACCCAGGGAATGAGTCATAGGCAACATGTAGGAGGGGCTGGGGGAGGACATGCCCCCCTGACAGTGACAGCGAGAGCTCCAGCTAGTAGGGGGGCACGGAGAGTGCTAGTGCCCCCCCTAAAATTGGCTGTGTTGGTGGCATGCCACAGGTGCACTTGGCGACCGGCTGCTGGGGGACCCCTCCCTCCCTGTTGCCGGCTGGCCACTGGCGAACCCCGCCCCCACCCCAATTGCTGGCTGGCTGCTGGGGGAGGCCCCCCCCAGACTTGGGAGGCACCAGTCACCCATGGAATGAGTCCTAGTCTACCTCCAATCCCAGCCATGTCTTCTGAAGAGAGATCAAAGGCACGGAAGTTATGTACTAGGAAAGGAAACCTTGTCCCGCTAGATCACCAACATAGTGTAGAAAGATAATGAATGATTTGGTGGGTCTCAACTGCTGGGGGAAAAAAAGCATCAGTCTGACCTGGAAATCAGTTTCAGAAAGACCTAAAAACTGAACAGGCATCGGGATGAAATTCCCTTGTTCTCCCCAGATGTGGTCCCTCCAGGCTGCAGGAACACAGGAGCTGTTACAGTGACTAAGACTCTGGTCTGCCCAGTCCAAAAGTAGCTGCTGCAGGGGAAGAAACCTGTGGGTAGCCACACAATGACCTTATCCCTTACCTCTGATAGAGGGCTCATGCCCCAAAGCAAAATTTAGCAAGCCCTTTGCTTTCCTGCCAGCATTAATTATTTTAGATCTGTCATGCTGAGAAATGCCTAAGCCTTTTTTCAAGTGCTGCTGCCTCTAGGATCTTGGCAAGGAGTGCCACAAGCTAACAGTGTGAAAGAGTAGTTCCCTTCACAAGTTCTTGGCCGACTGAAAGGTTGGGAAGCACGTGTGAAAGTCTGCACTGATGCTGTACCTGCTCTGCGGATAAAGGGAGGACTTCAGATGCCAGCTGGCGTCTTTCACCAGCGCCGAAGAAAAATGTCCATCCTCTCCAACAGAAGTGAGTTTTTCCCCTATGCTTTAGCAATAGGAGCTCTGTCAGATTCTCCAGTGCTTTGCTGCATATCTGGCTGGGCTCTTCATCTTTCCAGAGCCCTCATAACGTTTTCAAAAGCATTACACAGGCAGAACAGAACCACCGGTCTTGTATTTACAGACACCACAGTAAATGGAAAAACGCAAAGCTTTGGCACTGGTCACATCCTCCAATTTGCCCAACACCACTACATTGCCTCCTCACTCTCCAACACAGCTCTGAAAACTCAGCTCAAGAACTTATCCTGCTTATCTGAGGGACGAAATGGCTGAACCACCCAAAGTGTTCCCTCTCACCAGGTTTTGTCAGGCTGTATACTGTTGTCCTTCCTGCTCAACAAATCGGTGAGCTGACGGGTGACTCCCAAGTTCTATGACTCATTCTCCTTCACCTTGGACTTTGCTTTCCCAGTGTCCAACTAGGAGCCAGCTGACTGAGCCTCAGCCCAAACTAGGGTTAGCTGATGCTAGTTGACTGATGAAAGCAAATGGGGCAAGTGTAGAGATGACATAAGGAATCCTTCTGGAGTGCAAGACACAACACAAGAAATCCACTTTTTCCCAGTCCCATGGGGTGCGAGTGGTCAGAAATGCCTTTCCTCCATTCATCTGTACTTAGGGACAGTTCTCCAGACTGTCAGTCCTACCATGGTGATCCAGATATCTAGGACCTCGGAGCTGGGTTAGATGGGGCTTCCTCAAGATCAGCTGCAACTGCAGCCTCTGGGTGTCAACCTCGCTCAGTTGTATTAACTGAGCAAATCCCATTTTTATAGAGCTTTTTTGATGAGCAAGGATTTATACAACAAGAGTAAAGCTATCAAAATCTGCCCCCCATAAGTTGTCCAATAAGTCACTTTGCAAAACATATGCAAACAATTTAAAATCTCAGTTAACGCACTTTATACAGAGCATGTGGCAATTATTAAACGTAAGCCACATGCAACAACATAAATCACTAATTTCCATGCACCACTCACCAGAACACAGCACAAATTCAGTTTTTCATAAAGGAGCAGGGCATCTATCTCCCTTTCAGGAGAGGACTCCACCCTCTATGAAAGTAACACACCATGTTGAAATGGTGTAACACCACGTTTAAAGATACCCATCCCATGCAGAGAACCTGCTGGCATCCAACGTATACCCTGAGGAATGTGAATTACCAGCCTCTGCCCCCTCAGATGATCAAAGAACTCCATAAGCTGTGACTAACCGGCAAGTGTCACTGAACCAGCCGCAAGTAAGAGCTATAACTGCATGCAGAAACCTAGTGTGCCACACACTCCCTATAAACAAGTTTTCCCTATATCGTAAGAGGTCCATGGGAATTCACATTCCACTTGCAATGCTATATTGCAATAAACGATGGCAGTAGGGATACAGATGTCATAGCTCAGTGTTTCTCAACCCTTGGGTCATGACCCAAAAGTGAGTCACAAGAAATATGAAAGAGTCACAGACAAACTTTAAAAGTGGATCAAGCTTTAAAAATGGAAAGTAGAAAAATGTGGAAAACAGTGGCTTTTCCCTTGCAGGCTGGCAGAGGTCCAGCCTGCGAGGAGATGCTTGGGGTCCCCCATGCCCCACACACCCATGCCACACACATTGGGGGGCTGATGGTGGGAGGCAGTGGGTTGGGAGTGAGGGGCATTGGTTTGGGACTGACCATTGTTGTTTACAAATGGGTCCTGGTACAAAAAAGGTTGAGAGCCACTGCCATAGCTGATAGCGAACAAGCCTAGGAAGTCCTGAAGGACAGCAGAGGCCTGGGGTCTTGGCGCTGAAGATTCTGCTTCCCCTCACCCTGCCAATGCGCGTAGTGTGTTCATAGGCATTCAAGTCACAGATGCCCTCTACAGAGAAAAAGGGTGCTTCATTGTGACTCTTGGGGCAAAACCATGACATTATGACGTTGTATTAGAGCATGATGGAACTACGATAAATTCTAGTCACCTGGCTGGAGGCAGAAGTGGCAGGAGGTGACCTGCAGAACTGGTGGCACCACTTGACTGGAGATACCATGAGCAACCACCAGCCACGTTCTGTTCCTTGCAGGCGAGTCATCCCGCAAAGACATTTTTCCTGTGGAAGCGCACCTTGTCCAACCGCTCCTGCCAACACAGGGAGTACGGAAACAACTGCTTCCTTTACTACAGCGGTTCCCAATGTGTGGTACGTAGACAGTCTGTCAGTGGTAGGTGTTAACAGATTTATTATAATTACTTTATATGACAAAAATTTGCTAGTGGTACTTAAGGTTGTGTCGTTTTAAATTGGTGGTGTGCAATTTGTCAGAGTTTGGGAACTGCTGCTTTGCTATATTTGATCTTACATGGATGAAATCCTGAGTGGTTCGTGCATTTGTTGTCCGAAGCAACAACTCTGGAAACTGAAGGCCTCTGGTCACCAATAGAGTATACATCTAAAAAGACCAAAGTTAGGCTGAAAGGGGAGTTCAGTGTCCAATGCCACTGCAGTCACCGGCATCTCTCCTAAGACTATGAACGAGGGAACAGCTAGCGCTTGCTGTGGTGGTGGCTCATGAAGAAGACATTTGGCCACTAGGAAGTAGACTGCAGCCACCAGGTAATCTGTAATACGCTACTTATTTATGGTTCCGGAATGTAGGCCCTTTTTTTGCAGGGGACATAAGGAGACAACCCTAATTGTCCAAAAAAATCATCAGGCTTAAGAAAATAATCAATGTGGAATTTGATTTCTTTGTGTCTTGGATTTTGAGCCTTTAAGGCAGAGGTGGGAAAAATATGGCCTGCAGGCTCATGCCACACTCCCACCTGCACCTACCAATGGCCACCACCCCAGCCCTAGCGGCTTCCTGGCAGGCTGCTCCCATGAACACCTGGGTACTGCTCAGCTCCCCCTGACTCCAATGGCTCCTCCTCCTTCTGTGCCGCTCCAGGGAGCAGGTAGCAGAGGGAAGCCATGGGGATGCATGCCGGACACCACATGCCCAGCCAGGCAGCAGGAGAAGCTGCAGCCAGGCGGTTCCTGCCAAAGCGTGCAGGGCTCCAGCCACCTGCCACCTGCCACCCACTTGCCCACCCGGTGCAATGAGCAGCCACCTGCAGGTGCCACTCCCACCCTCTTTCCACCCACCCTACACACCATATACTTACCACATAAAGAGTAAGACTTTATTTTGAGCTATTATGCAATTGCCTCTATATACACTGCTCAAAAAAGCATAAATCAAACCAAAAATTATTTTTTTTAATGAACTGTTATAGCAGTTTGATTTTTTTAGTATATGACTTGTTTTTTATCTGTAATTTGTTAAAATATCTTCTGAAGATTTCGTGTGTGCAGCCCTCGACAGCTCACCAAAACTCATTAAGTGGCCCACTAGCCAAAATAATTGCTCACCCCTGCTTTAAGGTATGTATGCTTGGTTCACATGTCCAGGCTTTTCTCCACAACCATGAAGCTACTTGTTAAAGAAATACATGAACGCTGAGATTTTCTCATAGTCACTTGTCTCCAAAAACTAGGGCTATCAGTAAATCAAGTCTGTCAGATGAAAGCTCAGTATTCGTTCTAGATTGGATAGTTCCTCTGTCATTATCTAAAAGATCCAACTCTTGGAGAGAATTTTCTATTTTCATTTCCAACATAAACCCTGCACTGAACAGCAAAAGAAATGTTGGCAGGAAAGAGCTTGCCTCCAAACTATAGCAAAGTAGGCTGCATTCCTGAGTGAGGATACGGGTCCAGCGGAGTCTCTTTTTGATTTTAGCTGCATGCGGGCTCAGAGGGCAGGGAATGCAGGGAGAGGCAAGTATATATAAAGCAGGCATCTCTTCAATAGAGAATTGGGACATCAGGCTTGTTTGTTGCTGCTGGGAGGGATGAACTACAGCAAATTATCCTTCTGCTCAGAGTCTAAGGCCTGGGAATAACCATTTCATTGACAATAGGCTTGTTGTGTAAAAACCATAGGGGGGAAAAAAAAGGCTGGAAGTGACCTCAGAAGTCATCTAGCCCAACTGCCTGCTCAAGGCAGGATCTCTCATGTCTAAACCATCCTAGAAAAGTGTTCTTCTAACCTGTTCTGCAAGGGGACTAGGGCAATGCTAATTTCCAGCCACAGCAGGGACAGGCTGTAGTTGTTAAAATGCATTCAAGAGATCCTTGGTGCATTTTACATCCATTATGTCTAGCCCTTTCCCCAGCAGACACAGAAAACAGTCAATCACCATCCTCTTTCTAACAACCCTTTTTGTATTTGAAGACTGTTACCAAATTCCCTTCAGTCTCCTCTTCCCCAACTGTATAATCCCAGTCCTTCCAATAGTCTTCATATGTCAAGTTTTCTAGACTCTAATCATTTCCATTGCTCCTTAGTGGAATGTTTTCAATTTGCCCGTGTCTGTCTTGAAGTGCAGTGTGGTATATCCTTGTCCAACTGTGCAATGTGCCACTTGAGCTAAATAAATTAAATATGGCATTTAAAGAAGGATTTATTAAGTTAACACCTTTGTGACACCTCCCCTCCTTGCCTGTGATTTCATTCCTGTCCTTTGATGAATCCTCCCTTACTATTTTCCCAGCACCTTGGGAACCTAGTTCACCCACCATCACAATATCGGAGCACCTCATAGTCTTTAATGCATTTCTCTTCACAACATCCCTGGCCATGAAGGTCGAGAAGGAAGATTATTCCCATTTTACAGATGGAGAATTGAGGTACCACAGCATATTGAGAGGACAGTAGACAGATTTAGGCTAAGGACACAAGAGCAAAACTTTTTTATTGAAAGGACTTTGAGCTCCTGAAGGCCAGGTAGCACCCAGCCTGAACACGGATGCCCAGAGGCCACATACAGGAAAGAGCTATAGCACAACTGAAAAGGCAGGGTATGTTTTCTTCTGTCTCTGGGTGCTGAGTCCCTGAGAAGGGCGGGAAGAGACCAAGACCCTGAGGCACACTGCACTCTCCTGAACCTGGTGTAGCTCCCATGCTGCAACGTACTTAAAAAGGCTCTGTTTCCAACTGGAAGAAACAGCCCCTGTGCCTATCCAGCATGCCACAGGCCACTAATAATTCAACCTAATCCCCCCTGAGAGTTTTTGTCTCAGCTGAAAGCTTCCAGCCTTGGAAAGTCTGAGCTGATCATGTGTATCTGGAGAGTCAAGTTCTATCACACCTGATGCTTGGAGCCCAATGTCTTTTCCCCTAGGCCCTTAGCACCTGAGCTCTTTGATCCTTCCCCCACGTCCCTATGGAAGAGGCTCCATTCTCTCTTCATTGTTTCAGTCACCAGAGACATGCCAGTGTTTAATAAACTGGTGAAGCAATCTCCTGCACTGTTATTTCAAACAACTATCAGCCCTTCTATGCATCTTGGCTCTGAATGAAGCATCTGTTTGAAACTCATTGAGGTGGGGGAGAAAAAAAATCATGGTGTCATCTGGCTGCCTCTTGCCAAAACCACAGGCAGGGATTGACTTTTGCGCCTGAAATCCTGGCCGGGTAAATAATGCCCTCACTGATCTTGTCTATGGAGTGTGGGAGGAGGACAGGAGGGGAAAGTCGGGCCCATGGGGCTACGCCTGCAAGATTCACGTGCTGGATGGGCCTTGGAGAATGCTCTCTGTGGCCAGTCGGCTCTGAAAACACAAACAAACCGCCGAAGCAATCAAAGAAACCAAAGTGCTTCGTTATTTAAGGGTCTGCACATTAAGGACAGGGCACGATTCATTAGTTAAGTGTCCATGGGGTGCTGTGGACTACCAAAGCCTCCAGTCAACGAAGCACAGCCCGCACATGTTTCATAAACAGCCATCCTGAGATGCTGGCTTCCTTTTGCATCCGGCTTGGCCTCCTTCCTTCCCAAAATATGACCTTGGTAAGCAGCTGGCTCCCTCCAGGATCAACCTCCCGCTCTGTCTCCTTCCCTCACATTCTTATTTCCTCCTGCTGTGGCACAAGGCAGCGAGATGCAGGAAGTTATATTCTCTCTAGTTTTCCTGCCGGAAACAGACACCAATACTGGCCAAGTGACAAACAAACCTCTGGTGGCTCAGAGATCCCCTACCCAACCTTTTTCCTT